AGTCGATGTCATGTTTCACAATGTGGAAAGGGATAATGAAGTCACTGATTACCACAGTTACACGAAAAGAGTCAGAGAGGACCTTAAAGAGGCTTTAGCTGCTGCTCAGGCTAATGCCTACTCCAGTCAGCAACGTCAGGCTCAGTTGTACAATCTAAAAACAAGGGGCAAGGACATAGCTGAAGGGGATCAAGTGCTCTTGGCTAATAAAGGAGAACGTGGCCGTAGAAAGCTTGCAGACAAGTGGTCTTCTAACATCTACATTGTTGTGTCTCATGATCCCAGATGCCATACTTACCGCATCAAAGACGCAGCAACTGGACAAGAGAAAGTAGTCCATCGCAACTTACTCCTGTCAGCAAACTTCCTGCCACTTGAGTTGGACAAAGAGCAAGAGTCGGTGTTTTCCTCTGACATCACACCAGATCCAAGTACTGTTAACGGTGGTGACCAGGATGTCTCAGTTGTGTATTCAGAGAGTAATGGATTGGACCGCACTGCTGACTGGGTGGCCAATACCACCTCAAACCCTGAAGACCTCCAGGATGCTGAAAGTTGTGTCAGGAATCTTCAAACAGAAGCAAGTGATGCTGAGAGTCTTGGAGACATCGAAAGTGACACTGCCAAGTGCCCACAGTCGCCACATAAACAGCCAGAAACTGATGAAGAAGCAGTTGTTATAAGTCCTGGTAGGCCAACAACTCCAACAACTGGTGCTGTAAGTCTTGTCAGATCTAGGGCTGGCAGGATAATCAAACCAGTTAACAGACTGATACAAAACATGGCACAAAGGAACACACAGACACGTAATGCAGTCTCTGAATTTGCAAAGAGTTTATTTTTGTAAGAGTAATCAACTTTTGTTTGTGAATAGAGTATGGTAGTATTGCACCTCTGTAAATAAGTCAATGCCCATTAGTTAAAATGTATGGGAGAGTAACAGCCACTGACTGTGAGGTTGTGTTTACGGCACAATCTTTTAGCAAGCAGGCATTGTTGAGTCTGGCCAACTTTCCAATGTTGCTTTTCCTTTTATTAGAGGAAGACCTTTAATGTTGCTCAGGTGTATGTGGTCGCTGTCTTGTCAGATGGCAAGAATGTTATTCTGTGTCCAGTCGTGATTAATGTTGGGACGGTTTTGAGAAGTTCAGGGGGGAGTATGTAGCAGAGTTAATTTTATTTATTTTATTTTTCTTTATGAACCTTCTCAAAACTAATTTTCTTTGAATTGACATGTCTGTTATATATTATTTCTGTTTTATTTTGCTTTCATTTTTGGTTCCTAGTGTGCAAAAATCCACCCTCATCTATGAATATTTGTTTTTCTTTGTTTTTTAATTGTATTTTATTTTGGTGGGGAAGCTTTTATTTTCTTACTTCCTGTTTTTGCGTGACATCCTGTGTGTTCCCGCTGCCCTCCTCAGTTCGCGCCAAGCTGCGCTGGGGAGAGGTAAGTGTACAGAGTTGTCTTTCATTTGTGTATTAAAATATTGAAAACGTTCTAAAAAATATATGTTGTAAACTCACATGTTATATATATTGTTGTTTAACTGTTCATGTTTAGCGCAGCACTGTGCTGGGCATTTGTCTCCCACATTGGTGACACCCATCAAGTTTTCTGAATCAACGTGTTTATTTTTTTTTAATTTATTTATTTTTCTTTTGGTTGGTTAGGGTGTTTGTGGAGAATCCGGAGCCCAGGAGCTGCTTTGTTTAAAATGTTCTTGTTTTGAACAGGTATGTGTGTTGTTTCCAATTTTATTTGGATGTGAAATTAAGCTGTTTAGTATATTTCTATGTTATGGTGGAAAATTGTAATTATAGGGCAGATTATTTCTGTTTAGGTTTTATTTTAATTGTTTTGTATGACTGTAGATTTATTTTATTAGTGAACATCAGAGAATTTTGGTTTTGTTTAATGCATTTCTGTGTCAGTTCGCGCCAAGCTGCGCTGGGGAGAGGGTGTTTGTGGAGAATCCGGAGCCCAGGAGCTGCTGTGTTTAAAATGTTCTTGTTTTGAACAGGAATAAAATTATCCTGAATCCTGATTCCGGTGTGGTTCTGACTTCCTGTTACCAACCGCTACACT